AGACTCTCTGGTGCTGGGTCTCTCCCGATGTGGAAAACACGCCTCCCGAGGACTGCTGCTTGCCTGCCTCACCACTCACGCCGGAGCTGCTCAGGCCTGAAGGGCTCAGCCTCTCACCAGATCAGGATTGCAACTTCTCGCTGCTTCCGAACCATCTCTCCCTCCCCCTGCCACTCAGTCTGGTTCCTCAACTCTGCCTTTGATGTTCAGGGCTCCCAGATTGACATATATAATCGATCCACTTGTTTTTTCGGGTCTTTGTTGTAAGAGGGTCCACCAGAAGCATCTGACTACTTCGCCATCTTGACCCTGCCTCCGATAAAAACTTTTTATATTCAGGTTTGTTCTACACCCAATCTTATTTCTTTCAGGTCATTTTTGGGACTGTTTTTCTTCCCACTTCTGATGTAACATTTCGTCTTTCATCTTTAAGATACAGAACACTTACATCATTCCAAAAACCTCCCATTGTTATGCTTTCTTGATTCTCTTTTCTTCAGGTGGCCTTTATTGTAGGCATCTTCTGGGGTTGTAGCCCAGAATGTGACCTGCTTTTATATTCCTCTAACTTAATTATGCCATTTATGTCCTCCAGAATCTAGTTCGCTACTAGACTCTTCTTTACTATCTGTAGATGACTTTAAGATCTATCTTTTTATCGCATTCTGTTCAGTTGTGTATATCTTGTTCTCTTGAGGACATTTCCAATTAGATGTCCTGTTAACATTTTAGTCTTATCGTAATAGAAACTTTTAAAAAAATTTTCCCTTGTATCTTTTTCCTTTTCCAGCATCCTCATCATAACTGCAAGGACATTTCTTATCTTTGCTGTTACTTTCCCCTTCCACTTGCAGACAGCAGTCACACCTAGGATTCTGCCTTTTAGTTATCACCACTCCCATCACCAAAACTCTTCATACAGATTCTGTTCACCTCATTTACATACCATTGTTCGTTTCTCACTGACCTTCTGTCTTAGTCATCTAGTGCTGCTATAATAAGAATACCACAAGTGGTTGGCTTTAACAAAGAGAAGTTTATTCTCTCACAATCCGATAAGGCTAGAAGTCTGAATTCAGGGCGCCGGCTCCAGAGGAAGGCTTTCTCTCTCTATTGGCTCTGGAGGAAGGTCCTTGTGACGCATCAGTCTTCCTTTGTCTGGGAGTATCTCAGCCCAGGAACCTCAGGTCCAAAGGATGCGCTCTGCTTCCGGCAGTGCTTTCTTGGTGGTATGAGGTCCCCCTCTCTCTCTGCTCACTTCTCTCTCTTATATTTCAAAAGAGATTGGCTTAAGACACTACCTAATCTTATAGATCTCATCAATATAACTGCCGCTAATCCATCTTATTACATGATGGTGATGGAATTTACAACACACAGGGAAATCACATCAGATGATAAAATGGTAGACAATCATACAACACTGGGAATCATGACCTAGCCAAGTTGACAGATGTTTTTGGGGGAAAAATTCAATCCATGCACCTTCCAACTGCATAGTTCTCCTTTTTTACCCTAAAGTCAAGATTAAAATCATCTTACATGGTCTTGGGGAACATCTAGCTCAATTGGCATAACATAGTTTATAAAGAAAATTTTCTACATTCTACTTTGGTAAGTAGCGTCTGGGGTCTTAAAAGCTTATGAGTGGCCATCTAAGATACTCCACTGGTCTCACCCCATTGGGAGCAAGGGAGAATGAAGAAAACTAAAGATACAAGGTAAAGATTAGTCCAAAGGACTACTGGACCACAACTACCATGGCTTCCACAAGACTGAGTCCAGTACAAGTAGATGGTGCCCAGCTACCACCACTGACTGCTCCAACAGGGATCACAATAGAGGGTCCTGGACAGAGCTAGAGAAAAATGAACAAAATTCTAACTCACAAAAAAACAACACTTACTGGCCTGACAGAGACTGGAGAAACCTTGAGAGTATGGCCCCTGGACACCCTTTTAGATCAGTAATGAAGTCACTCCCGAGGTTCACCCTTCATCCAAAGGTTAGACAGGCCCATAAAACAAAACGAGACTAAAGGGGCACACCAGCGCAGGGGCAAGGACAAGAAGGCAGGAGGGGACAGGAAAGCTGGTAATAGGGAACCCAAGCTCAAGAAGGGAGAGTGTTGACCTGTTGTGGGGTTGGTAACCAATGTCACAAAACAATATGTTTACTAATTGTTGAATGAGGATTACTTTGTTCTGTAAACCTTCATCTAAAGTACAATTAAAGAAAAAAAAAGATTAAAATCATCTTAAATACAAAGAGCATTCTGCTTTTGCAAATCCTTTTATGAGCTCCTCTGTTTTAAAGCCTACTTCTGGATTGCAGTCTCTGTCATGATTTTATTATAACTTCTATTTCTCATATTAGGTAAATTTAGTTATCCCTTCTATAGGGCTTTGATTACCCCTGAGCCCTGAAGGTACTCATGCATGCTTCTAAGTTTTTTTCTGTTAGGCTCTCTCTTCCCGCATCTATAAGCTTTAGTTCAGGAATAATTTCTCATACCCACAAGCAAGTATAGTACCTGTTACTAAGGAGAACATGAAGTTGTATTTGTAGATGATGTGATTGTCTACTTAGAAAATTCAAAAGAATCAGCTAAAAAAAAGTAGATGTTAAAGTAAAGAGAGTTAAAGTGGCTAGATATAAAATAAATATACAAAAATTAATGTATTTTCTTCATGCTTATATACTGTTTATGAAATATAGTGGAAAAATCCCATGCACAATTGCATCAAAAACTCATTAATAGTTAGGAATCTTTATGAAGAAATTTGTATGATAAAAACTATAAAACTTTTTGGGGAGACATAACAGACTGGAATAATGAAGAGAGATATCATTGTCCTTAGAGGAGCCCTGGTGGTGCAATTGTTATGTGGTTGCCTGCTAACTGAAAGGTTGGTGGTTTAAACCCACCAGTGGCTTTTCAGGAGAAAAGACCTGGTGATCTGCTCCTGTAAAGATTACAGCCTAGGAAACTCTATGGGGCAGTTCTACTCTGTCACATGGGGTCTCCTTGACTCGGAATCGACTTGACGGCACACAACATTATTTTCCTTAAGAAGACTGAATATGATATAATAATGTTAGTACTCTCTAAGCTAATTTAGAAATTTAATCTAATTCCAATCAAAATTTGGATTGCTTGCTTTTTACTTTTCATTTTTATTTGTTTAATAGATGGAGGGTGTTTTTGCTCTGATAGAATGATTTTAATGTTCATCTGAAAGTAACCAAACCCACTGCTGTCAAGTTGAGTCTGACTCATAGCAACCCTATAGGATAGAGTAGAACTGCCCCATAGGGTTTCCAAGGCTGCCACATCTTCTGCAGAGCAGCTGGTGGATTCAAACCTGACCTTGCAGTTAGCCAAGCACTTTAACTACTGCACCACCAGGGCTCCTCTAGAAGTAAACATGGTTGAAAGTACCCAGTTATGAAAAAGAAGGATAATATATAGAGGGAAAAGCTTGTCCTACCAAATATTAAAATCTACTACAAAGATTTAAAAAAAAAAAAAAAAATCCGTTGCTGTCAAGTTGATTCCAACTCATAGTGACCCTAAAGGACAGAGTAGAACTGCCCTATGGTGTTTCCAAGGAGTGGCTGGTGGATTGGAACTGCAGACCTTTTGGTTAGCAACCAAGCTCTTAGCCCCTGGGCCATAGGGCTCCACTACAAAGATAAGGAGATTCAAATATGTATGAATTCCTGGAACAGAGTAGACAGCCTACAGTAATCATGTATTTTGTAATTAACAACAAACAAAAAAAATCATTTTGAATTATTTGCAAAGAACAGGTCATACTCAAGAGAATGCAAGATACAATGGAATTCATATTTTTTAATTAATATAAATTCAAAGTATAGAATTAAATCCATAGGATGTTAACAGCATTTATATTCAGATGGTATCATTTATTTTTAGTTTATAATTTTTACTCATTTCACATCTACTTTTACAATAAAACGGAAAAAATCTCTTATAAAAAAAATCACATCTTTGCCAGAGATTTAATCATACCTAACCCTGTATCTCATTGTGTCCATCATTTAATTGCTGTTATCTATAGGTTGTCATATTTAGGTTGAGTTAATTCTCCTCTGTTTTGACTTTTTTAAAAAAAATATCTAATATCTTTGTTTAAACAAGGAGAAGAAAAGAAAATTTCTGGAGTTCACTTCCCTGTTTGGTCCCTAATAGGAGACTAAATTATTTAAATACAAATTGTTAGAAGGTACATGTTAATGTAACCTAATGAATTATTAGCATTTAAAAGTATTTGCATTTTTAAAGGTTTAAAATATGTAACCTGATTTCTTTTAATGATGACTCTATTTCCAATAAACAAAAACAGAAATCACTGTGCAGAAGAAATAAGACTTCCTTGACCATGTTCTTTGTATAAATTATGTATCTGTTCTCACTTTACTGTTAGAAGGAAGTAGTCAATTTTCATGTTGTATGGGTGAATATAAATCCTTTCTCCATTTGCCCAATTCCCGCCTAACCCCTAGGTAGAGTTAATGTTTAGCTATATCATATGACAGAACAAATAAACGTTAAACCTCCTGCTTCTGGGACAATCCTCTCATCAAAACTTAGGGAAAATGAGAGGGAGTTGCCACACACTGACATAAGAAATACATCTGATAAGTATCAGAGGTCTTCTTTCAAACAGCCAGATATAGAAATGGCAAAAATTAACATTTAGTTATTTAATAGACTATTCACTTTCATCAGTATATAATGTGGATTTTTTCTGATGGCTGTTAAATATGAGGTCTGGAATGCCTGTTTGGTTTGCAAAATTCTGAGAACACAGTTCTAGCACCTTTAAGAGGACAACCATGATTATACTTGCTGTATTTATTAGTCAAAATGAAGCAAAGTCAATCTGTTGCAAGTTTCATTTTGCTTTTTTGATTAGTTTGTTTAATGATAGCATTCAAATTTTGACCTTTAATGTAATTTCCTCCCTTAATAGCTTGGTGCTAACAGTGGTTTGCACATCATCATCTTTGATGAAATCGATGCCATCTGCAAGCAGAGAGGGAGCATGGCAGGTAGCACAGGAGTTCATGACACTGTCGTCAACCAGTTACTGTCCAAAATTGATGGGGTGGAGCAACTGAACAACATCCTAGTCATTGGTATGCTTACTGAAAAAAAATAAAAATGCTATGATTTTAAAAACATGAGGTATATAGGTTCTGAATTAAGACCTTTGTAGGTTGTAATTATACTCTTTTTTCAAGTGTTTCAAATTAGAATCAGGTGATAACTGAATAATTTGGCTGTTTTAAGGTCTAGACTCAATAAGACAAATAAAAGATGGATTTTCGTAACTCATGAGTTTACGCTTATAGTGCACCACAGATGAAAACAAAATGTAATGCAGTGGTTTTCAAACTAGGTCCTGTAGGCCTCCAAGGTTCCTCAGAGGTGCTTCCGGGTCAGTGAGGGCCGGGGAGTGCGCTTCAGATCCTGTATCCCTATTATAACTTCTTTTAACTGTTTTATGTACTGAGGTTCTTCTTATGGTTACTTTTGAAAAAGAACTGCTCTTTTATGAAGGTTGAAAACTGCTGTCCTAGTAGAAAGGGAAGGGACTTTGAAGTCAGTTTATGTTCACATTGTCCCCTACCACTGTCAAGTTTTTACCCTCGCTGAATACTTAAATTTTCTTCCTAAATATTTGAAGTTTTCATTGCAGTCCTATTCCATTGACATGTACTGCAGTGAAATACTAAAGCAAAGTCTTCAGATATTTTTATTCGAATAGATCAAGAATCAATGATATTTTTATTTGAAATTAATTTGGTTTTCTGTTTGACTCTTATAAAATGTCATCTTAGCTTGTCAGGGAAATTACTGTCCTTACATATCATGAAGAAAATTTTTCACTTATTTTTGAACACTAGTAATTTGTCTTTTTTTTTAACATCTGTGTCCAGGAATGACCAACAGACCAGATCTGATAGATGAGGCTCTTCTTCGACCTGGGAGACTGGAAGTTAAGATGGAGATAGGTAAGCAGAACTGTCACTGATCAGGGACACTGACCATTTAGCAGGAGCAAAGTCATATACCTTTGTTATAAAAGTTGTTTGTTAAAAAAGGTGGCTATCATGAGAAGCAGATATTTACATGCCTGTGTACCTGTAAGAAAAGCATTTGGATTATAATGCTAACGGCGCTTTTGAGACTAGGAAAATGTTTTTTATTTTATCAGGCTTACCGGATGAGAAAGGTCGACTACAGATCCTTCACATCCACACAGCAAGGATGAGAGGGCATCATTTACTCTCTGCTGATGTAGATATTAAAGAACTGGCCGTGGAGACCAAGAATTTCAGCGGTGCTGAACTGGAGGGTCTGGTGAGAGCAGCACAGTCCACTGCTATGAATAGACACATAAAGGTCAGTGAAAACAGCTCAGTAGATAAGCGGTTTGCAACCTTATAAATACCACGCTGGCATTCTACCTCTTTCCTTTCAAGCGTGCCAAGGGCTAGGTAATGCTGACTTTTGTTGGAGAAGAGAGATGGTAAAAGGAATAGGAATTAATTGTCAACTGCTAAACCCTCAGAGTAGCAGAAAGGAAGATAATGGTAGCATTGGCCCCATGGTAACCACTGGCAACTGCCTTAAGTTGCCACCATCTGACACAGATATGTGAAGATGAAGACTTTAAATAATATATATATTTTTTAATCCTTGTGCTATGTTCAATTGTAACATGTCATAGGAAGTTGAATTTTTTACATGCTAGAATTATGAGGGTTGCTTCATTCAGCAAATACACTGAATACCTATTTTTGACGTTGTAAGCTGGAGTCACAGAGATAAATAAAACATAGCTTCTTCCCTCAAGGAGTTCAGAGTCAGGGAAACAGGCATGTTAGCAAATTAGTACAATCAGTGATTGATACTATTGTAGAAATATGTTCCAGGCTACTTTTATTTTGATGTGGATAAGGGCCTGTTCTTGATCCTTTGCCATCCACTCTCCTCTTGAGGTTTTAGTTATCACCTGGAGATAGATGACTCACAGATTTATGTCTCATTTCTTGCAAGTGTCTGCCTCCCATTTTCGGTGTCATAGTAAATCCTTCTACCTAGATTTTATCAAGCCTCCAATTTAATATTCCAAAACCAAATTTACTGTCTTTTTTCCTGCTTTCCTTTCTAGTCCTTTTTCCCTGCTTATCCCAATTTCTCAGACTTAAGACTTCAGGATTATCTTTATTCCTGCCATTCTTCTGTGTCCTACATCAGATCTTTGCCAAATTTTGTCAGTTCTGTCTTGGCAGTATTTTTCAGTTCTCCCTGCCACTACCCACTTTCTGTTTGATTAATCTCATTTCTTAAAAAAAAAAAGAGATTACTCCTATTATCTGTTCAGAAACTTTCTTACCATTCTTGTGTTCAGAAACTTTTGATGACTTCCCATCGTCTACAAAACAAAGTACAGACTTCTTAACCTGGGCTTGAAGGCCCTCTGTATTGAACCCTAAACTGGCCTTTCCAGATATGTTGCTAATTATTCTCCATACACTTCAGCCAAACTGAAATACTCACCAGCCATCAGACAATTTATTTTTCCACTTCTCTGCTTTCGTTCTTTTTACTTCATTGAAAACCTTTACCCTCCGTGTTTACCTATCTTTTCAATACCTGGTTCATGTGCTACCACCTTCCTCTAATCTTTTCTGATTCTCCTCTTCAAGAATGACGTACTTCCTTCATTCTTGAAATATTCATGTGTCATCTATGGTACCTTCAGTTGTCTTTGGTGCAAAAGAGATTTATTCAACATCTACTGTATAATGGCCAGACCCTGCTAGGGGTTAATGCTATAACTGCAAAGAAGTAAATTGCCTACCCTTGAGCAGCTCACAGTTGAATCCTCCACATGCAACAATAGAAAGTACATGCAAGTTAAGGAAGTAAAAAGGTGTAAGATGTGGTCAACTTGGAGGACACAGGAGACCTTCACAGAGGAATTTTCTGGGTGGATTTGAGCGTCTCTTGGTGGGGTAGGGCGTTTTTAGGATCCCTGGGTAGCACAGACGGTTAAGCACTTGCCTATTAGCTGAAAGACAAAGACTGGTGATTCAGATCCATCCAGGGGCACCTCAGAAGACAGGCCTGGCAATATGTTTCCAAAAGGTCACAGCCTTGAAAACCCTATGGAGAATTCTACTCTGCACACATGAGGTCATATGGGGTCGCCATGAGTCAGAATCAACGCGGCAGCAGCTAACAACAACAGGGCATTTTAGGGTAGGAGGAAAAACGTATACAAAGGAACAGAGACAAAATAGCCTGGTGTGTTAGGGAAGTTTAGTATTGCTTCCGCATAAAAGGTAAGGGAGAGGAGGTAGAGAGACATTGTGGGGGATAAGTCAGGAGACTAAAGCAGGGGATGGAACACAAAGAGTCTTTTATACTGTGCTAAGAAGTATGGACTTTTTTCTATAAGTAGTGCTAAGCCATTGAAGAGTTTTAAGAATAGCAGTGGCATAGTGTTAAAACATAAGATCACTCCGACAGCTGTGTCTAGTAGAGTATTTAGGGGAGTGGAGTTGGTGACAAGACAAGAGAGAGGAACTTTTAGAACAGTTCAGGCAGGGAATAATAAAAGCCTGAACAGTTCGTGTGAGTATGTCATAGTTATTTCGGTACATCCTATCAATAGTTCTAGACCAGGAGTTGGCCCCTGGCCAAATCTAGCCCACCACCTATTTTTGTAAGTGAAGTTTTATTGGAACACAACCACGCTCATCTATTTATGTATTGCCTATGGCTGCTTTTGTGCTACAATGACAGAATTAAGTATTTGCAACAGAGATTACATGGCTCACAAGGCCTAAAATATCTATTATCTGGGCCTTTATAGAAAAAGTAGGCAACCCCTGTTCCAGACTTTAAGTTTGTATCTTATTTATCTCTGAATCCCCTACAGTACCCCAAATAGGTCTTAAGTACTGAGCACACTGTAGGTGTTCAGTAAATTTTTTTTTTAATTGTGAAATACATGTAACAAAACACTTGCCATTTCAACCATTTTTACATGTACAATTTAGTGGCATTAATTACATTCACCATGTTGTAGAACCATCACTACCATCCCTTTCCGATTTTTTTCTTCACCCTTAACAGAAAATCAGTGCTGCTTAAGCAATAACCCCCTCTTCTTCTCTCCCACCTACCCCTGGTAACCACTAAATAAATTTTGGTCTCTATGTGTTTGTCTATTTTAGATATTTCATATGAGTGGGATCATACAATATTTACCCTTTTGTGTCTAATTTATGTCATTCACCATAATATTTTCAAGGTTCATCCACATCGTAGCATTTATCAGAACTTCATTTCTTTCTATGGCAGAGTAATATTCCATTGTATGGATATACCACATTTTGTTTATCCATTCATCTGTTGATGGACACTTAGGTTGTATCTACCTTTTGGCTATTGTGAATAATGCTGCAGTGGACATTGGTGTACAAGTATCTGTTTGAGTCCCTGCTTTCAAGTCTTTTGGGTATATACCTAGGAGTAGAATTGCTGGGTCATACAGTAATTCTGTTTAACCTTTTGAAGACCCCTCAAACTGTTTTCCTTAGGAGCTACACCATTTTACAATCTCACCCGCAATGGATAAGAGTTCCAATGTTTCCATATCCTTGCCAACGCTTGTTGTTTTTCATTTTTCTAATCATAACCATTCTAGTGGGGATAAGGTGGTATCTTATTGTAGTTTTGGTGTGTATTTCCCTAATGACTAATGACCTTGTGCATCATGTGCATGTTGGCCATTTGTATATCCACTTTGGTGAAATATCTATTCGAGTCCTTTGCCCATTTTTTGATTGGGTTGTTTGTCTTTTTGTTGTAGAAATTCTTTTATATATTCTGGATATTAAACCCTTATCAGATACATGGTTCCCAAATATTTTCGTCTGTTCTGTAGGTTGTCTCTTCACTTTGTTCATAAAATCTTTTGATGCACAAAAGTTTTTAATTTTGATGAAGTTCATTTTATTTATTTTGTCTTTTTTGCTCATGTGTTTGGTGTCATATCTAAGAATCCGTTGTCAAAAAACTAAGTCCCAAAGCATTACCCCCCTATGTTTTGTTCTAAGATTCTTATGATTTTAGTACTAAATATTTTTTAAACGAGTAAACTGGTATATGTATTCTGACTCTAACTCTATCCGTAAGCCATAATTTCCCTACATAATAGAAGTGACTCTGTTCTAGCTAAAGAATGCCAAAGATTTAGATAGGGTGGGAATATAGTATTGGATACTTTATATAATGGATCCAGTCATCCATTTAGCGCCTATTTTTTCATCCTTCCTCCTTGCTGTAAGAAGTGTTTTTAGGAAGAAGTGACAGTGACCTCAAGAAAAATTGTGTGAACAATGTGATAATTGCCTTCCCTCATACTAATCTTTCATCTCAAGTCACATGAATGCTTCTTGACTAATTAATAGTTACCATAGGTTTCTCATATGCATTGGTCACTATATTTTTCTTTTATTTAGTCATTTATGTCACTCTAAGCCATTGTTTTACTAAGAAATATGCCTTCTTCAGGCCTGTATTGGTTACGTTTATCTACATATAAGACAGTGAAGAAAGGTGGAAAGATCATAGATCTCATAGTCAGAAGGTATGGTTATACATTATAGTTCTTTCACTTTTTTGTTTCTGACCAGTCAAGAGGAAATACTACCTATCTTGCCAGGTTTTTGTGAGGATGAAATCAAATACTATATGTTGAAGTGCCTCATAAACTGTATAAATGCTAGTTGTTCTGTCCATTATTGTTGTTATTGGCTGATTTGGAAGGGTACCGTATACATCCTTTTCAGTATCTGGGTTTCTGGTTTTTGTTGACTATTTGCAGTTATAATTTTTTAATTGTAAAGCTAAAATTTTTGTTACCACTGTACAGAATATGTCATCCTTCAGTTTTGAAAGCATGAAGTAGTGCAAATAGTTGACATTATTTTCCTTGTTTTTTCCATATGGTTGAATTCACCTTGATTTAAGCTTCAGGTGATCCACATTTTGTGATTGACACTGTGTCAAACAGCTTTTAATTTTTTATATTATCTGTGGTCTGTCTAGTGCAAGGCACTGTGTAGGCAGTTTAGGGAAAAGAAAGATGTGTAAGATGCTAACCTTATACCCAAAGAAGAAATATTATGAACATTTATTTCTTTTTCTGTATTTTAAAAAAAATCTGCATTGTCAAATGGTTTTTAAACCGTTTCTCAACAAGTAAGACTCCTCCTCAGCTAAACAAAAGGTATAGTGTTGTAGTCTTCTCGTTGCTGTAAATTGTTCATAGCTTTAGTAGTAGTGATTGATGAATAAATTATTTGAAACTTATGGTTTAAAGTTGGTGTAGAACTTTATAAAACATCCACATCATTCAACTGCTTGTTGGGATATTTTTTCCCTTTGTTTTTAAAAACCCATTACCAGTTTTGGTTTTACTTCTTTTTCAAAACATTTAGACCAAAACAAAGTCAGGTGGACTAAGCAAGACTTCCCTGTTAAGCGATTTTTTTCTTTTTTTTTTGATTTTCTGAAACAAGTGGAGCAAATCTAGTCACAAAGGCCTGATGTTTATGTCATATAAACTTGAACCCATGTTGGTGGTCAACTAAAATTCATGTGACATTTGGTGGTTTTTATCTTGAAAGGAATTTCTGCTTCAGGTATAGAAGATTCATAACCCAAATTTCTTCTCTTCTAATCTGCTGTAAAGAAATAAACTTAAGGAGACACACACACTTACATACCAGTTTACAACTGAACCAAAACTCTGAGTTATGTTTACAGAATTTCAACAAAATTATTTCTTATTTTCTGTTGGATTTTTTTTATTGATTAAGGTCATTCTGCTCTTAATTTAAGAAGAATGATAAGAACTTTGAAAGGTCAGCTTTAAAAGGTTATGAATTTAAGGGTGACCACTTGATATTTGCTAGTGTTGAAATACAAGTTTATTAGTTTCTGCAGGTATAAGCTGAAAGATGCTGCCTTTTATATTGATTACCTGTTATAAATAAAATGCAGGGAAAAAAATCTCACTAATTCAGACAAATGAGAAAGTTTTTCTGAATGAGTAAAAATTCAGAATTGTAGAATTTTTTTAAAATAAGATTTTACTACTTTTGATAAAATAGTAGAAATTGTCTAAGTCCTTAGAAAACTTATTTTAATGAACAGGTAGAAATAATTTTCAGTTGGAATATTGACTGTATGCAATTAGGTAACTTCTGAAATTCCCGGAGTGCCTGAAAACAACTTGCTCTAATGTAACTCTCCCCTATCCAGCTTAATTTACTTTTAATTCCTTGGGTGATTCCTTTCTCAGTAGTTAGTAAAAAGACAAATTTGTCATATTTTTTTGGTGGCTGTTGAAAGATGGACAATATTTTTCCATCGTATTACTATATGTTTCTGTCATTTGAATTCAGTTTCACTATAAGAACAAATGAAAATACTAAATATCATATTAAAAACCTAAGGCTGTATAGGGAGGAGACACTTAAAATGAGGCTGGTAGCTTCATTGGGATCTTAATATGATTCTGTCAGAGTGCACTTCACTTTCACCTGAGAGTTTACATCCTAGAATCCTTTCAGATATGTCAGAAAGTTTTAATCAGCATTAAAATCCTTATTAAGAGTACCTAGGAAGGAAATTTTATATAGACCCTTAATGGGTGAAATAATATATATGAATATACTTTATACTAAACTATACTTTATGTATATACTTATTTATATGTTGTTGTTGTGTGCCATGGAGTTGATTCCGACCCATAGTGACCTAATGTAACAGAGTAGAACTCCTCCATAGAGTTTCCTAGCCTGTAATCTTTACAGGAGCAGATCGCCAGGTCTTTTCTCCTACAGAGCCACTAGTGGGTTTGAACCACCAACCTTTCTATTAGCAGTCAAGTGCTTAACCATTGCAACACCAGAGCTCCCTCTTATTTATATACTATATACAATATATGTGCTATTGTCCATATACAATATATATACTGTTACTATGAGTCGAAACCGACTTGGTGGCACCTGGCAACAATAACATACATATACTGGAGTCCTGAGTGGTGCAAACGGTTAACACTTGGCTGCTGACTGAAAGGTTGGTGGTTATAGTCCACACAGACATTCCTCAGAAGAAAGGCCTAGTCATCTACTTCTGACAAATCGGCCGTTGAAAACCCTATGAAACACAATTGTGCTCTAACACACATGGGACCGCCATGAGTTGAAATCAACTCGATGGCAACTGGTTTACATATGTACTATATAACTATTCTGTATACTATATGAACATACTTTATACTTACAAACTATAAAGCGTTGTATAGATTTATGTATTCTGAACTGAGTATCATAATTCTTTCATAGGGATTCTTGTTCCCTGTGATACCATTTCCTTTTTTTTTTTTTTTAACTTGGAAATGTCAAATAAGTGTGATTAATATTTATCAAATGCCTAATATGTACCAATGAAAACCTTATTAATTTAAATGCTAATTGTTCTGTTTATTTAAGTAGAATATTTATCTAAATGTTACTTGTTTCTTTCTGTTTTTAAAAGTATAGAAGTCATATGCATGAATACGTTCTCCTTGTAAAAGATTCAAAGACACAGAAGTGTATAGGAAAAATGAGAAAGGCCGTCTCTAACATCCGTTCTCTTTCGCTCCCCAGAGATAACCAACATTTGGGATATACCTTTGTAGTTTATTTTCTCTACGTACATGTACATATATACTTTAAAAAAAAAGAACATTAATGGGATTACACTACATATATTGTACTGCAGCTTGCAGGTTTTTACATGACAATATGTCTTGGATAGCTTTCCATATCAGTACATGTAAATCTTCATTATTTTGGACAAATGCACAGCATTCTAGAATATTATCATATAATTTAAAATATAAGATCCACATGGTCAGGGACCTCTTGCGTTTTATTCACTGCTATGTCTTGGTGCTTAGAATGGTGCTTAGTACATTGTAGGTACTCAGTAAAGATAATGAATGAATGATTTATTTAACATATAGATTATTTCTGGTTGTGACTAGTAAAATAATACTGCTGTGAAAATGCTTGCAGATGCCTCTCTCTGTACATACGGAAATCTTTTTCTAGGGTAGATATCCAGGTGTATTTTTGGAGACATGGTTTCTTTGTCTTCTAGTTTCTGGTGTTGCTGTGAGAGGTATCATGCCAATTTTATCCTGGTTTCTTTACAGGTAACCTGTTTTTGTCTCCCAGAAAGCTTCTAGAACTTTCTCTTCATCTTTGGTGGTCTGAAAGTTTACAACAGTATGTCTAGACAGATGTGGGTTTCTTTTCATTTATCCTAATCAGCACTCATTGGACCCTTTAAACTGCAAAGACACACCTTTCTTCAGCTATGGCAAATATTTTTCTCTTCTCTTACTGTTTTTTCTCTGTCATTCTTTCTGTTCTCTCCTTCTGAGACTCCTGTTAAATCAGTACTGCAACTTCTGAATATATCTTCCATGCCTTTTAATCTTTGTCTCTCACTTTCTGTCATTTCATTGGGTTTGGGGCAGGGAGGGAGATAAATAAATGTGTTCAGTTTGCCATCTTGATCCAGTTTCTTGACATAGTTCTTTCCCAAAAGGCTGACTTGAAAAAAAAGCCTGTTATTTTATGTTTCAGCAGTCTGTTCCTAAAGGAATATGACTCATATTTTATAATAATCAATGGAAGACTAAAATTTGTTTATCACATTTTAGTTTTATGGGTTTCTTTTTTGAAGATACTTTTTTTTTTTTTAAATCCATGATACCAATTTAAAAAGTAGACACTCTTGCCTTGTGCTATTGGTAGTGAGCCCAGCCACATTAAAAAATGTATTGGTATCTCAATCAATCATCAGGTCCAGGCAGCTCCAAATGATGATTAAGGCCTTGATGCGTCTCCAGATGTCTGTTTTAAGTATTAGCTCCAGGTGCAGTAAGCAGAATATTTGGAGCTGGGCACATAGATTCTCAAGCAAAGTATGAGTACAAAATATGAGTACAAATCAAAGTTTTAGGTCCTTGGTCTTCTAGAGGAATGATTCTCAAACATGGTTGAGCATCAGAATCACCTGTGGCACTTTATAAAAATATGCATGCCTGGGCCCATTGCTGGACCTGTTAAATCAAAACCTTGAGAGGGCAACTGGGCATCTATATTTTTTGAAGTCTCTGGAGGTTATCCCGACTTTCAGGCAAGGTTGAGGACCACTGCTCTTAAAGACCCTCTGTACGTATTTTCTCCTACTCATGCCTCATTTTTTAAAACTAGTTATATAGTGTTCTTTGGTACAGATGAGTAATCATTTACTTAAGTGGTCCCCTCTTGGTAGACTTTTAATTTGCCTCTGGTCTTTTGCTATTACAAATTGCTGTAGTAGATACCCTTGTACATATAACCTTGTGCGCATTTGTGAATATATTTATGGGATAAATTCCTGGAAGTGGAATTGTTCCAGCAAAAGATATACAGTGACAGCCAGAACTTTGCAGGACTGCCTTGTTTTTCCAGGACTCGCAAGTTTTCCGCCTTTGACAGGGTGCAGTCACCACTTTTCTGTTGCTCTCTATTTAGTGGAAAATATTTGAGTTTTCCTTCTCTGACAGGTTTCCACCTTATACAGGTTCTGGTTTTCACAGGTTTTACTGTATATATTTGTAAATTTGAGAGAGATGATTTTTGTCTGTGAAACTGTGCCTTTTAAATCCTCAGGTGTTATATTCTTAGGCTGGAAATATTTTTAACTCTTGGAAGTCCTTACTTTTTGTTTTCATTTCTAACTAGGCCAGTACTAAAGTGGAAGTGGACATGGAGAAAGCAGAGAGCCTGCAGGTGACAAGAGGAGACTTCCTTGCTTCTTTGGAGAATGATATCAAACCAGTAAGTATGCATATTGAATGATGTGTAAACCAAAAAAATGAAATAACTTAAGTGCCTTTTTACCCAGTATTATAGAAGGTTCTATCATATATCGTTTTATAAAATCAGAAAATCTTAGTGTTGGAAGTGCCCAGCATAATAAGAATCATTGTATAATATCCCTAATGGCTGGATGATTAGCCAATATTTGCCCAAGTATTTCTCATGATAGGGAGCTCACCATCTTATAAGGCAGCACATTCAATTTTGAGACTTTCTAATTATTATTTCTTACTTTATATTGAATTCGTTTTTCCATTTGTTCTTGCGCAGTCTGAAGTTATGGAAACCTAAATTCACTCCATCCTCCAACCGTCAATTATTATGATATTTAAAATTAACTGTCATGTCTTTCTATCTCTCTCTCATGCCTTTCCCCAGCCTCCTCCCAGGCAACCTTTTTTCTTAGTACCTCTAGTTCTTCTAACTGCCATGGTTTTATTTATTTATTTTTTATTGTGCTTTAAGTGAAAGTTTACAGCTCAAATTTGTTTCTCATAAAAATGTGTACACACATTGTTATGTTACCCTAGTTGCTCTCTTTATAATGTGACAGCACACTCCTCCCTTCCACCCTAGATTTCCCATGTCCATTCAACTAGCTCCTGTCCCTTTCTGCCTTCTCAGCTTGCCTCCGGACAGGAGCTGCCGTTTAGTCTCATGTATCTACTTGAACTAAGAAGCACACTGCTCATGAGTATCGTTTTATTTCTTATAGTCTAGTCTAATCTTTGTCTGAAGAGTTGGCTTTGGGAATGGTTTTAGTTCCGGGTTAACAGAGGGTCTGGGGGGCCATGTCTTCCAGGGTCCCTCCAGTCTCAGTCAGACCATTAAGTCTGGTCTTTTTACTAGAATTTGAGTTCTGCACCCCACTTTTCACCTGCTCCATCAGGGACTCTCTGTTGTGTTCCCTGTCAGGGCAGTCATTGATGGTAGCCTGGCACCGTCTAGTTCTTCTGGTCTCAGGCTGATGTAGTCTCTGGTTTATGTGGCCCTTTCTGTCTCTTGGGGTAATATTTTCTTTGTATCTTTGGTGTTCTTCATTCTCCTTTGCTCCAGGTGGGTTGGGACCAATTGATGCATCTTAGATGTAACTGCCATAGTTTTAAGACTCTTAACCATCCTGGGTGCCCTTTAATAAAAATGTGTCACTATTCTTAAAATGAGACTCCCTGGGTGGTGTAAATGGTTAACACACTCGGCTACTAATCAAAAGGTTGAAGGTGTGAGTCCACCTAGAGGTGCCTTAGAAAAAGGCCTGGCAGTCTACTTCCTAAAAATCAGCCATCAAAAACCCTATGGAGCAGAGAGTTCCAGCAAAATGGCGCTGTAGGCAGAAGCACCACGCTGTCTCTCCACAGCAAAGATCCGAAAAACTAAGCCGAACAGAGAATACAACAATCCTGAAACCCTAAAACATCAAATGAAGAGATAAAGAACTCAGCCAAGCACCAAATGCAGTGAGAAAACTGACAGAGAAGGGAGAGCGAGGAGAGATTCATGCAGAGGTCCCCTACCAGCTAACGCAGCGCGGATCCATCATCTTGGACTCCTATCGGAGACCAGCAAACGGGGTATGAGAAAGCAGCCTCACGGAGCTTCCAGTGGGAGACAAAACAACCAGTAATTGGTGATATATGCTTTCCCACCCCCCACCCTTCTTCACCCCGACTCGACCTCCTCTGCTTCCTGCGGCCACAGTCTCTTGACCGGGAAACAGCGGCTGCTTGGATTCCACACACCCGAACTGGTGGCTGTCTGAGTGCCATTTGTTGGCTGCTGGTGTTGCTTTTCTTCCGCTTCTTTTTATTTCTTCCTTGCCTCTCCCCACTTCCCCCTCCTTTAGCTCAAGTACCTTGCTCCGTGCGCCATCTTTGCTTCTTCCTGAGGGGCTGCAGAGCTCTGGTAGTTTGTGATGTACACTTTCCTGCTCTCTACCCTTCTTCACCCACACTCGACCCCCTCTGCTTCCCGCGGACACAGTCTCTTGTCCAGAAACACCAGCCAACACTGGCGGGCTCTCTGAGTGCCATTCGTTGGCTGCTAGTGTTGCTTTTTTTTTTTTTTTCCTGCTTCTTTTGACTTCTTACTTGCCTCTCGCCACCTCCCTGTCCCTTCGCTCGAGTGCCTGGCTCCATGCGCCATCTATGCTTCTTCCTGAGGGGCTGCGGAGCTCCGTTCGAGTGTGGAGCTGCTTCCTGGTTTGGGCTGCCGCACTGGTGGGACCCCAGGGCTTTTGTTCGTTTGTTTGTTTTGAATTGTTCATTTGTTTTCTTTTCCTTTTCTTGAGTTGGGAGCCCTTTCTGGCCAGGCGGAGCTGCGTGGCAGGGAGACTCCCCTTCAACTTCCGCAGACGTGCAGAGGGATCCCTGAGGACATTTCTTTTTACGTTGGTTTTTTTTTTTTGTTTTCTGTTTCTATGGGGGCCTTTTTTGTTTTGTTTTTTAATTTGTTTTGTTTTCTTTTTCCTCTTTTTCCCTTTTTGTCTTTCTTCATTGCTCAGTTTCTCGTCTCTCTATATCTTCCTTCTGTTTCTGTTCCCTGAATACCTGGTGTTGTATACCTCTATGCCTTCTAGCCAGGCTGTACTGCAACACCTGAGAGCGACTTCCCCAGACCTCATAGCTGCACCGGTGGGATCCCTGGGAACTTGGCGGTTCTTTAACCTTTCTGATTTTTATTTATTCATTCTTTCCTTTTCTCCCTCTTCCCCTGTTTTTCTCCATTTCATAGTCTCTCATCCCTCTACTCCAACAGCAATCTCCACTAGCATTCTTTTTTGTTCGTTTGCATGTTTTTGGCTCCTGTTCCTCTCTCCTCTCTCCCATATCCATCTTAGCTCCACATATAACAATCTCCCTGCTGCACCTTGCCTACCTGCACCGTGCGCTTGACATCACACCACCAAGCAGCACAGGCACGGCCTACTGGAACCTGCCCTGCACTGATTACCGACCAGCTCTGGTGGCTGTAGTAAGTGCCACA